ATATATATATATATATATATATACTTAAAGAAAAACAAAGGCGAAAAGATAAAACAAAAAAACACAAATCAGGAAAAGAATGGATCATAAACAATAGGGGGTTTTGGCTCGGGAGCCCATCATTGGGAGAGCAGAGCTGAACAGCACAAGACAAGAGCAGTCCTCTTCGCTGTGGCGCCATCACGCAGCATCATTAAAAGCGGGAGATATACTTCCCTTCCGCGCGGATATGAAATCCACCCGTTGCCTGCCCTTATCTGCGCACGGATTTCTCTCCTCCTCTCCTTCACTCGCATTCTGTCCTTCATTCTCTGTCTGTTGCCGTTCATTTGCGCTCTTTCAAGCTCATTTTGCGGGGTTCCCTTTGTAAATAATTTTCTCCGTTCACCTTTCCGCCTTTTTTTTTGTTAGTTTCCGACGTGTTTGTGATTATTTACGTTTGGTTCTACTCTTCATCGTTTTTGTACCGTCCTTTTACCTTTTTTTTTCGTGCTTTTCGTCTCTGCTGTTGCGCTGATAAATAATCACGCCTCATGCCCCGCTTATCTGCGCCGCTGCACAAATATGGCGAACCAAAGCAAAGACCCGCTCTCACAACCTATAATGGTATTCACCTCTTTGTTTATATTCATTCCTTTACGTTTGTTTTTTGTTCCTTTCTTTTATTTTATTTTTTGCTTCTGTTGTTGTTCTAATTCTTTAACAGCCCCTATTTCATTCTCTCTTCACCTTCACCCAGTGAATATATTTATACATATACATACATTTATATATATATATATATATATATATATTCAAAGATGTGTAGATATGGATAAGATGAAATGGCTGCGGCGCACGTAAAGCTTCTCTGTCCCTGCCACTTCCCCACACCGTTGTTGTTGTTGCTGCTCCCACATGAAGCCGTGTCTTGTCTGTGGAGGGCGACGCACAACAACAACAACAACATTACCCCCACAGGTGACGTAAACGCACACGCCTCGTTTCTTTGATACATACAAGCAAGCAAACACACACAAAAAGACACATATGAGGAAAAAGCGGCGACACACACACACACACACACACGGCGAAACAGAGCGGCAACAGACGTGGTTCCAGATATGAGAAAATCCACGCCCTCTGCGCACTGGCCCCGCCTGCCACTCCTCGCCACGCGGGCACACGCACACATATATATATATATATA